GGCGTCTAATCTCTAGATGCCCGTTTACATCTTTAGGTGCCTACATATCTTTGAAAATCTAGCTCAGTGTGCTTTACCCAAATGCTACTGGTTAAGAATGTGCTTCAATGCGTGTTCGGTTTAAATCCAGGCTTCTCAACTCCCCCTCCGTTGGGGATGTGGGAGGCACTTATCCATAAGCAAATACAATGGAGGTCGAACTGGTTTTCTTCCTCTGCTGCAGGTGTTCTCTCAGAAATCCGGCTGGTGCAGTGGGGACCAGACCAGGTGAAGCCCACGGAGTCTGCCAGGCTCACTTGTGCTGTCTACGGTACCTCTGTTGATGGCAACAACTGGAGCTGGATCCGGCAGCCTCCTGGAAGGGGGCTGGAGTGGTTGGGAGTGATCTGGAGTAGTGGAGGAACTGGCTACAGCTCGGGTATCAAAGACCGAATCCGCATCACCAGAGACAGCTCTAAAGGCCAGGTCTATTTGCAGCTGAACAACATGAAAGCTGCAGACACCGCCACGTATTACTGCGCTAGACGGCACAGTGATACAGCGCAACAGAGCGCTCATGCAAAAATCCTTCCTGCCCAGTCAGCTCACACCCTGCCACCCATGCCCGACACCCTGAGCAAGCCTGTCTAGGAGTGTGATGGGAGATAACGTCTGCTGTAGGCAGCCGGGTACAGAGAGGAGTGGGGAACATGAAAGCCTGACTTCGCTCTTTCTGATTGAGGATTCTGAGTGAGTGAGTTAGTGAGTTTAACCACACACGTGACATTATTGAAATGTATCCCCCTCCTCTATTGCCTCGCTTGGGCCTCTCCTGGGTCCAAATTCTTCTCAAAACTTTCTACTCTGCGTTCTCCATGTCCTTCTAAACATGTCCCAAACCGGCCCCAAAAGATTCCTGGACCCTAGCTGGTGTCCATTGGTCCAACTCCACACAAACCAACTGAGCTATGGGCCTTTACATGACCTGAGGATCTGGGCCATTTACTGATTCAGTCTGGAGCCAAGTTTAACACAGTAGCAACAGAATATTGCTGCAAAATCCTTCCTGCTCAGAGTGAGATCACTTTCCCCTACAACAAATAAATGTGCAGGACAGTGAGTTCGGCACAATAGATAGATAGATAGATAGATAGATAGATAGATAGATAGATAGATAGATAGAGATGGGGTGCATGAAGATAGATAGAT